GAGAGAGAGAGAGAGAGATAGAAACATCGATGAATCATAGATCTGCTGGGTCCTGCACACCCCCTACTGGGGATCGAGCCCGTCACCGGGGCATGTGCCCTTGACCGTAATCGAACCAGGGACCCTTCAGTCCGCAGGCCAACGCTCTATCCACTGAGCCAAACTGGCTGGGGCTCACTTTCTGACACTGTAGCAGTCTATGACCCTCCAAAGCCGAGAGGAGGCCTGAGGGCAGTTTGGCACTCTCTGCCCAAATCCCAGTGAATCCTTGAGTCCCTGTGCTCATAGGAGTTGACAGATATGCCAGGTGTTTCTCTGCAAAAGACCAGCCCTGGCCGGGTGGCTCAGTTGGTTGGGGCGTCGTCCGTACCAAAAGGTGGCGGGTTCGATTCCTGGTCAGGGCACATACCCAGGTTTCGGGTTTGATCCTCCTCCCCCCCACAATCAGGGCGCATGCAGGAGGCAACTGATGTTTCTCTCTCTCTCCCTTCCTCTCTCTGAAATGAAAAAAAAAAGAGTGGAGCCAACTATCCCCCCAGTGGGGACAGATCAAATAACGGCGGCACACCCAAGAAGTGGGGTACAGTTCAGATATGAACAAGGAATGTGGGAACTCTTTGTGAGTGAACAGAAAGATCTCCAAGCTGTTAAAGGGGCAGGGTGTGTTTTCTATACTACCATTGACATGGTCTTAAAGCAGCGGTTCTCAACCTATGGGTCGTGACCCCTTTGGCAGTCGAATGACCCTTTCACAGGGGTCGCCTAAGACCATCCTGCATATCAGATATTTACATTACGATTCATAATAGTAGCAACATTACAGTGATGAAGTAGCAACGAAAATAATTTCATGGTTGGGTCACAACATGAGGAACTGTATATAAGGGGCCAGAAGGTTGAGAACCACTGTAAAGGAAAAGGAATAGGTATGCATATATTTAAATATATTTGCATGTATACGGTAGGAGATGTGCATATGCATATACGCATATGTATGACGTGTATACAGTATATATGCACATACACATTAATTTATATCTGTTTACTGGTAAATATATGAACTATCTCTGCAAAGATATGGAGACACGAGCAATAACTGGTTGCCTCTAAGTGGGGGCGGGGGGAGAATGCGGCGGGCATAAGGACTTTCCCTGTTTTAGGTTAATGAAAAAGGGAAGTACGAGAAGAAGGTAAATAAAAGCCTGGAATTCTTAGAGCGGGTTCTGGAATCCCAGCACTCCGGGGTTGATGACACTAACCCTGGTCACTTCCAGGAGTCCCAGGTTTTATGTTTCTAGGGCCCATGCCCCTGCCTCTCCAGGATCTGGGCACGCAGTGCAGCTTGCCCCCCGGGAATGGCCTCCTCCCCGCACACTGTGGGCGCTCTCACCTCAGGGGGGGCCCACAGTTGACCAGGGAGATGGTCCTGCTGATATAGGTCTCGGGTGGCAGCTCCCGGACTCCTGGGCTCTCATGGAACCGCTCCACGCGCTGCTGGAAGCTGGGGGGAGGAGGGGGTGGAAGGAGAGGGGGGCCAGATGACAGATGACAGATGGAACACTGCTGGATTAGGGTCCCTTGCGGGCACTGAGCCCAGCAAAGCCTGCGATCCCCACTGAGGCACCCCTGCCCATCCTGCCTGGTTCTTCCCTTTCATCTCTCCCCTCCCTCTGTTGCATCCCAGACTCTGATGCACCCCCCCCAACCTGCGCCCTGCTCCCAGCCCCCCATACCTCTGCAGGAACTCTGCCAGCCCCCCCAGGCAGCAGTGGGCCATCCGCTCCCCGAACTCCTGGCTGATGCGGGGCGCCCGCTCTGTGTGCTCCTCCAGCAGCTGCAAGGTGGCGGGGGTGAGGGGTGAGGAGGGGTGAGGAGGGGGTGAGGCCCCGCTTTCCCACCCGGCACTGTCCAGCTGGTTCTCTTCCCCTTCCCCACCCCTACCTCACACACGTCCTGGGCCAGGGTGCTCGGCAGGTCCTCCGGGCTCCCCCAGTGCTCCTCGTCCTCCTGCAGAGCTCGGAGCAGGGCTGCCCGAGTCTGGGCCTGCGTGGGGAGGTGGGGGAGGCAGAGTCAGGGGTGCCTGGGAGCCCCTCCCTCGCTCTCTCCCACCATGATCCCCGCACCTTGGCCCTGAGCACGTCGTCTGGATTCCACCAGGGAGCTCCTCAAAGTTGGACCAGGAAACCTCCAGCCCTTCCCACTGCTCAGCCCATGACGTGGAGCTTGCTGCTAAGAGCTGGTTTTAAGCTTCCTCTGTCTACTCACTACCCAGAGCAGCGGTCGCCAGCCGGGGGTCGCGGGCCACTGGTGGTCCGTGAGGTCCGAAAGCTTGGCGACCGCTGAGCCAGAGGGTTTAAGGGTCAACTCTCACTATTTCATGGCCCCAAGGCTCTGCTCTCAGGTTTGACAAAAAACAAATTCATTCAAGATTGTCAGATTCTGGAATTCAAAAATTCCCAGGCTCTGTGATTCTAAGGTTGACCCATCTCTGATTCTCTGGTCCAACGTTGACCTTCAACTCAGGGGACTCTGACAATCTAGACATGTTCAAGTCGAAGGGTCTCCCCTCTCAAGTTGCAAAGATTCTAATTTTTGTGGCCGAGGCAGGACCGACATTCAGGTAGGAAACCCCCCAAGGCCACCTGCTGAGTGGGGTCCAGCCCAGCCACTTATAAACCAGGTTCACTATCCGTCCTGCCGGACAGACGGACGCAGAGGCGCCCTGGCTCCTCCTTCTGTGAGTCTTTGGCTCCGTGAGGGGAGGCTCGGTGTCTGACTTCCTCTCGCTCTGAGATTTGCATGTCTGAACGCATTGAACCGTCACTGGGTGTCTCTAGGCCCAGCTGGGTGCCTAGACTACAACGCTGAACCTAAGACAGCCATGATCCATGTGGATGTGCATGTCCATGTCCCTTGGACAGAGCTCAGAGTCCGCAAAGGGAAAAGGGAGATGGAAATACCAAAAGGGGGAGAGGAGAGGCCCCAGGCCCAGTGCGAGCCCTCCCTCCCGGCAGAGTGC